GAACCCGCCACCTTAGGTGGACGTGGCTGGCGCCTTAGCCGGTTGAGCCACAGGCGCCGAGCCTCGTTTGTCTTATAGAATGTATAAAGTTCTTTTATAGAACTTATATTTTTTAATTTTTCCAGCTGAAATTTTGTACTTTTAGAAAAAGTAATTATATAACAAGGATTGATCTTTAGGGATTACCTGGAATATGCACAATTTCTTCACTTACTTGGTTTGCAGGGTAAGTTGGCATGAAGCCACTAGAAGCCTGGGCTGTAGCTCCACCCACTGGTCCAACAAGGTTAATGCCCATGACTGGCTGTCCCAGGGTGAGGGGCATGGAGCCTCCAGGGCCTGAAGGTATCACAGTCGGCTGACTCACTGGAGTAGGCAGAGTCATAGGAAAGCCACTTAAAGTTGGAATAGGAGCTGCTGGGAACTGGTTTAAAGCATCAGGACTTATGGCAGGAACACCCCTCTACAAAAAATAGGAGGAAAATGGAAATACTTTAGGGGACTGCAAACCACATACAATCTAAATCTTGCAAAGAGAGACCTAATGGTAAAAGCTATAGTCTTCATAAGTTTCCACTCTGACTTTCCCAAAACTCATGATTTTGATACAAGAAAAAAGTTGTAAAGTTAATGCAAATCTGATACTTAGGCTATGACAGGGAATGTTAATATATTAAATGTTTGTTTATTTATTTATTTGAGACAGAGTTTCACTTGGCCACCCTTGGTAGATTGCCATGGTGTCATAGCTCACAGCAACCTCAAACTCTTGAGCTCAAGCAATTAATTTTCTTGCCTCAGCCTCCCAAGTAGCTGGGACTACAGGTGCCCACCATGATTGGATTAAAAACCCAGCTATTTTTAGAGATAGGGTCTTGCTCTTGCTTAGGCTGGTCTCGAACTACTGAGCTCAGGCAATCCACCTGCTTCAGCCTCCCAGAGTGCTGGGATTACAAGTGTGAGCCACTGTGCCTGGCCTTATTAAAAGTCTTTAAACAAAGAAATAATTTGCTAGTACATACATTATATAAACTACTTTTTTGAAGTACTGCATCCTGAAAATGTTCTAATTTTAATGTACAAGGCGTTCTACAATGTAGTAAAGAAAAGGATTCAGTCTTTCAATTTATATTAATACAGTTGGTTACTTATTTATTTTTGAGACAGGGTCTTGCTCTTGTTGCCTAGGCTGGTGTGCAGTGTCATGATCATAGCTCACTGCAACTTCCAACTATTGGGCTCAAGTGGTCTACCTGCCTCAGCCTCCCAAATAGCTAGGACTACAAACGTGTGCATACCATCACACTCAGCTATTCTAAAAAATTTTTTTTTTTTTTTTAGAAACAGGGTCTTGCTATGTTGCCCAGGCTAATTTTGACCTCCTGGACTCAAGTAAGACTCCACTTTGGCCTCCCAAAGTGCTGGGATTGATTAGATGTATGAGCCACTGCACCCAGACTAAGTAAAGTTAAGAAATATTGTCTACCTGTGTTACTGCTATCATGGCGAGAACGGTATAAAGTTCTTCTTTAGTAAGTTTGCCAGGTGTAGTTCGATTAGCTAAGGCCCATATCTGTCCAAGAGTTTCTCTGGGAAGTCCAGATGACATCAGAATGGGATAAAGTTTAGCAGTGTCTATTCCAGTTGGAGTCATTGTGGTTTCTAAAATTTTCTTATAGGCATCTATTAAAGGAAAGACCAGATTATAAATGTAAACATATTACAAGTGATTTATCTTTTTTGTTGTCATTGTTGTATATAAGAATAATCTTAAATCAAACTCCTTTAATAGAACTGAAGCCACATCAGGGTTTGAGCTGCTGGAAAGATGTTCGGGTGGGAATATTCAGCAGATAATTAGAATCTGGAACTTAGATGACAATTTGGGGCATGATCCTAAAGAAAGATTTAGAATTGAAGGTAAGGGAAAAATCTTACAATTCAATACAAGATTTTAATAACAAGATGAGGGTGGTAAAAGCCGATGCTTAGGACCTTATAAGTGAAGTTGCAGAGTAACAGTGGTGGGAACAGTGTGTAAATAGCAACAGGAAGCAAGAATTACACCAAGAGCACTCTTCTGACCTAATGAATTAAAGGCTGTGAGAAAAAAACACCACTGATGAAGGTGCTATGGAAATAAAGCCTTCATAGAAAAATCAGATTTTGGTTAAGGTGGGTACTGTTGGTGAGTTTTCCACAATAATGTGGGTTTTCCAAAGACAAAGTGGGAAAGGCTGTTAGAGTCAGGGTTGCCATATAGAGTAAAGAATGCCAATAATGCATGGGACATACTTGTACCAAACAATTACTTGCTGTTTATCTGTAATTCAAATATAACTGGGCATCCTGTACGGCTCTTTGCTAAATCTGGCAAGCCGAGTTAATAGTTGCTGAGAATGAAAGTGACTAGGGCTGAGATAGAAAAATGTTTACAACAAAAATTTTACATCTAGAATTATAAATATGGATTGCAGGTTAATAGGCTGGCCACAAGAACACATATTTTGACTAGGTATGTATGTATGAATGTATGTTGGAAAGAGGAGGGAGAAAGAAATACAAACTGATAATGGATAAAACTCTAAAATATACCAAGATCTAGATTTTGTTTGTCTTGAGGACAAAGAAAAAGATGCAAAACATCAAAGAGGTTAGCTAGAAGGAAATCTATTATTTTTAAGTACAACTGAAGTCCCTTTTAGTTTTTGGAATAATTAGCCTTTCAATTTGTGATCATGTGATTATGATATAAAGTAGATAATACCAGTTTCTTTCAAAGAAGTTCAACTACAGAAATCTTTTTTTTTTTTGAGACAGAGCCTCAAGCTGTCCCCCTGGGCAGAGTGCCATGGCATTACAGCTCACAGCAACCTCCAACTCCTGGGCTCAAGCGAGTCTCCTGCCTCCGCCTCCCAAGTAGCTGGGACCACAGGTGCCCGCCACAACGCCCGGCTATTTTTTGGTTGCAGCCATCATTGTTGTTTGGTGGGTCCGGGCTGGGGATTCAAACCCACCACCTTAGGTGTACGTGGCTGGCGCCTTAGCCGGTTGAGCTATAGGCGCCAAGCCCAGAAATCTTGAATGAGTTTTATTTAATCAAGTGTAGGACAACTTTAGTCTATGACCTAGAAAACTGAAGATCTAATCAAAGTTACCTTCAGTTTTCAAGGTGCTGGCAAAGTACAATAAATGGAACAAGGTATAATAAATTCAGATTAAGATATGCTGCTGAAATAGTCACTACTCTATGCACATCAATCATGGCTTAAAGAGACGATTTCCTGGTGTCAATTGAGTACTATCAGAAGATGCATTTTAGTGACGTTTCTAGGGGTATCGCTCAACAGTAATAACATACATAAAGAAAAAAGTAAATGCCATCTTCCAATGGAGGAAAAGAAGCTACATGGTCTTCACGTCAGAGTATCACAAGACAAATAAGTCATGAAAATAATTTTTAAAATTTAAATTAATTATTAAGAATCCAGAAAATTATATTAAATATATTGGCACAATTCTTTTTTTTTTTTTTTTTTTTGCAGTTTTTGGCCAGGGCTGGGTTTGAACCCTCCACCTCCGGTATATGGGGCCGGCACCCTACTCCTTGAGCCACAGGCACCTGCCCCACAATTCTTGATGAATTAATAATCTCTGAAATATTTGATAAGGCATGATAAATCTAACAAAGCTTTTACAAATAAAGGCATGTGATGGTCAATAAAACATTAAAGCAAAACATTCTTCCTGCATTTACACAGATGAAGCAGTCTTTCTTTTTTTTCTGAGACAGAGTATCACTCTTTCCTCCTGGGGGTAAGTGCCGTGACACCATCATAATTCACAGCAACCTCAAACTCTTGGGCTTAAGTGATCCTCTTGCCTCAGACTCCCAAGTAGTAGAGACTACAGGCATCCACCACAACGCTGGGCTAATTTCTCTATTTTCAGTAGAGATGGCCCCTCACTACTAAAAATAGCAATCCTGAGCTCCAGCAATCCACCCAGGTTGGCCTCCCAGAGTGCTAGGATTACAGGCATGAGCTGGCATTCTCAGCCTAAGAGGAGGCAGCCTTAAGAAACACAAAATCCATATGCCAGAGGTGGCGGCCCAGCCCTGGTCAAAAACTGCAAAAAAAAAAAAACCCACAAAATCTAATGAATTTTCTGTACTCTTTCAGAAAAAAGAGGAAAGTAGGTGACAATTTCTTCTGTATATTTTGTATCTACAACAGTAAATATTTATAATTACAGTTTAAATGTATACAGATGGGGAATCTTGGGCAAAGAAGCTTTTTACCTGGAACCAAACTTTCATTATAAATCCAAGGAGGCATTCTGGGCTGAACAGGATCTTGCGAGGGAAATACTCCTACACCTAGAAGATAAGGAACATTAATATATATAATTATGTATAGATAATTATACATAATATTAATTATACTAGTATATTAATATATGTAATGGAAATCACACTGACTTATGGTTTTCATAAAGAACACTGGCTGGAGATACTTAAAAAAAAAAAAGTCACCAATACAACGAAAATATTTGGAGGTCCTCTCCCCTCTCCTGCTGTTTGATTTGGGTTAAAATACAGGTATTTGGTTTCTAAACAATTTTTATATACTCTGTGCTCAAAAGTAAATTAAAGAAAAACCAGGGGGCAGCGCCTATGGCTCAAAGGAGTAGGGCGCTGGCCCCATATGCCGGAGATGGTGGGTTCAAACCCAGCCCCGGCCAAAAACAGCAAAAAAAAACCCCCGAAAAACCAGACTGTACCAAATCAATTTTCTAAATCACATGAGGCTTGCACCATTTCACATGTACTATAAATTGAAGGAAAAAACATGATAAATAATGATTTAAAAATTATATACATAAAAAAAGTAAATGTCCAAGCTTTATTTGCAGCTTTTAATAATGCCTCTTTCCAAAGTCTCACTTTTTTTAAACGTAAACATGACACTGCTGCCTTAGATATTTAAGACTTTTGGGGTCCTTTGGTCCAATACAATATCCTCCAAAAGTTTGCCTCCTACGTTGCCCACATTCTAATTCATCTCTTCAGACTCAAAGTTAACAATTTTGATCTTTTAGGCAGTAGTGCAATATGATTTATCTCAGAGAAAGCAAAATTGTACTCTCATTGGTGACTTTTCCAGTTATATTTTAACTTTTCAACCTTTATGGAAGAACAGAATGTGTAAGAGAGAAAAAAGAGAGCTTTTATAAAATAAAAGGAAATTCTAAATTGGAAATGATTAAGAAAGCTGGTTATCAAAATCACTTTTTGAAAAGGAGTAACAGTGTGTTGAAAGAATTCAGAGCAAAATCTTAGGGGTTAATTGGAGAAAGGAATGCATTAAATATATTTTAAGCAAAATTTCAATTAGCAAAATCAAGCAGCATTCATTTTAAGATTAATGCTTAAGATGTTAGCATTTGAGCGACATTTGGTTAAACAAACTGTTTGCTGAATGTTTCATGAGCTCACCACTCTCTTCATTTGACAGGTTTTGGTCTGAAGCCTTTTCTGCCTCTGCAGTGGTGGTACCACTTACACATCCATCTACAGCACCCCCGTTACTGGCCGTTAAACTGGGATGGTTCTTACTGGAACCTGGGCTTATGGCTTTGTGCCCAACTTCAGAATTATTTAATTTAATTTGTTCCTGCCCAGATGTACTTATATCACAAGATACTATGAGCTTCTCTTCCAAGGAAGGGCCTAAACAAACAGCATGAAGGATTATTGGTATGTAACTACACACTTCCAATCTTTCCAATCATCCATTTCCACCCCCATATCCTACAGGGAAGGCTCTGCCAAATATAAACTTTTAAAATATTAATAATTTAATCACTACACATTTGTAGAAGACTCAAAAGACTTGAGAGATTTTTAGAGAATTTAAGCATAATTATCTACTGTGATTCTCAAGAATTCTATGAGATAACGGAATAGTATATTGGAAGGAGTACTACCTTAGAAATGGGGTGAGCTGTATAAGATACAGACACTTTCACTAATTACACGGGAGGCCTCTGGCCAATAACCTCATCTCTGGATCTGTGTCCATGTCTGTCAAATGAGTTAAGTTTGGACTAAGTATACATCTGCCAAGATCCCTCCTGGCACTGTGCTATGTCTCAGGTCAGAGTGTACAGCTGCCCTATTATTTCATAGATGATAAAAACAAAGGTACAGAAAAGTTTAAAGCATTGTCCAAGGAAAACTGGTAGTATATGAATGGCCGAGGCTTCTGCCCCAAAGTGCTCCATCATTGAACCAGAAAGTAGCTCTCCCTCCCACATTATTTTTAAGAAAATGATATTGATGAATTTCCCAAACAAAAGAATAATCTTCCTAAGAGATCACTTTGTTTTTAAAGTTCTCAGGTGGTTCAAATTGCTCCTAATTTAGGAGCAAAAGTTTTTTTTTTTTTTTGGAGACAGAGCCTCAAGCTATCCCCCTGGGCAGAGTGCCGTGGCATCACAGCTCATAGCAACCTCCAACTCCTGGGCTCAAGCGAGTCTCCTGCCTTAGCCTCCCAAGTAGCTGGGACACAAGTGCCCGCCACAACGCCTGGCTATTTTGTGGTTGTAGCCATCATTGGTGTTTGGCAGGCCCGGGCTGGATTCAAACCTGCCACCTTAGATGTATGTGGCTGGCGCCTTAGCCACTTGAGCCACAGGCACCGAGCCAGGAGCAAAAGTTTTATATTGCCTTTCTGGAATGTGAAGACTCCAGAGTTCAAAAATCTAGATACTTATTTTGGTGAATTTCAACAGAATTTCAATAGTACTCATACATTCATGTACATGTTTCTCTGTCAACATCACTTTATCATTCTACTTATATAAAAGAAATAAATTATCCCAGGGTATTTTAAAAGTATTTTCATTAATAACACTAGGAGTTACCTGCTTTCTGTACACTGTGTGAGGCTGAAGCAGTAGAGAAATAAGGAATTTTCCCAGGGACACCATGTAAGGCAAAAGACACTGGAATCTGACCTGGAGGGAGAGGCTGTGCCCCAGCCTTCTGTGTGTGCAACTGGCCAAGTGGGGTGGTGGGGTGGAAAGACTGAAAGGGCTGGGATGAGGAGGAAGGCCCGCATGGGGGAACTTCAACAGGCCCCTGCATAAAGTCACTGAATTCTTCTTCATCAAGAAAGGCAGGTGATGGGGAGACAGTTTTAGTAGAGTGAGATGATGTGGGACAATCTGCAAATGGAAAATGGCAATGAAACACACAGAAATGAAAATCAACAGGGAAAAAGAAATTAAGATGTAGTACAATTCCAAAATAATACACTGAGATATGAAGAGTGGAAGTGAACAAGAAATAACAACAGTCAAATGGAATTAAGACAATGCATGAAAAACCTTGATGTCTATTTATACACAACTTTATCTCTTTTCATTTTCTTATTTTTTTGAGACAGAGTGTCACTCTGTCACCCTTGTCATCCTGGTTTGAGTGTTGTGGCATGATGGCTCATAGCAACTTCAAACTCCTGGGTTCAGGCGATTCTCCTGCCTCAGCCTCCCAAGTAGTTGGGACTACAGGTGTCCACTAGCACACCCACATAAATTTTTTTCTTCTACTTTTGGTAGAGACAAGGTATTGCTCTTGCTCAGGTTGGTTTTGGAAGTACTGAGCTCAAGCAATCCACCTGCCTCAGCCTTTCTAAGTGCTAGGATTAGACATGAGCCACCATGCCTGGCTTTATCTCTTTTTAAAAGGAAATGTAATAGTTAATTTGCATTTAGGTCAAAAAGAGAAAAATGTAAAATTCAATTTTTTTTTTCTTTTTTTGAGCAGGGTCTCTTCTCTCTCACCCTGGCTAGAGTACAATGATGTAATCATAGCTTTCTGTAACCTCAAACTCTGAACTCCTGGGCTCAAGTAATCCTCCCATCTCAGCCTCTTAAGTAGCTGGGACTATGGGTGCGTGCCACCACACACCTAATTTTTTTTTGAAGAGATAGGGTCTCATTATGTTGCCTAGGCTGGTCTTGAACTCTTGGCTTCATGAAATCCTCCCAAAGTGCTGGGATTACAGGCATGAGCCAATGTGCCCAGCCCAAAATTTCTTTAGGTAAATAATATATTTTTCCCCAAGACCACTAATAATTTACAGGTAAATGGTGATTTTTGAAATCCAAATGATCTGTTTATCGAGATAATATTCTCTCAGACCAAAAGATACCAGAAACAAGAACACTTCCCTATATTGTACTGAACATATTTTGGACAGATACATACTCAGATGATTAAATTTCATTATTTAGTAAGAAATGCATTAATCAATAATGCATAAGGTGGGGCACAGTGGCTCATACCTGTAATCCTAACACTCTGAGTGGCCAAGGTGGGTGGATTGCTTATGTTCAGGTGTTTGAGACCAGCCTGAACAAGAGCAAGTCCTCGTCTCTACTAAAAATAGGAAAATTAGCTGGCTGTTGTGGTGGATGCCTGTAGTCCCAACATCTTTTGAGCCCAAGAGTTTGAGGTTGCTGTGAGCTAGGCTTATGCCATGGCACTTAATCCCATGGCACCCAAGGGAGGGAAGGAAAGGGAAGGGAGGGAGGGGAAGGGAGGTAGGTTGAGGTGGTGGATTGCCCGACTCAAGGAGTTTGAGACCAGCCTGAGCAAGAGGAAGATCCTGTCTCTACTAAAAATAGAAAAAACCTTAGCTGGTTCTTGTGGTGGGTACCTGTAGTCCCAGCTACTTGGGAGGCTGAGGCAAGAGGATTGCTTGTGCCTAAGAGTTTGAGGGTGCTGTGAGGTATAACTCCATGGCACTCTACCCAGTGTGACAGAGTGACATTCTATCTCAAAAAAAAAAAAAAAAAAGAAAAAAAGAAAAAAAGAAAAGAAAAAAAAGCAGAAAGTAACCTTGACCATGTTTAAAAGGTCTTTGGAATTAAAGGATATAAATATCATTGTGGCTTTTTATTGTTAAATATGAGACTTATTTACATACTAGAACTACTCTACAGGGGCTACATTTAACATGAAGCTCATTAATAATACTATTTTATTGCTGCTGCTTCTCATTTTTAACTGCTTTGAATTGCTTTAATATTTACTAAAATCTAATGTCTCAAGGAGTAGTTGTTTTTACAAAAAGGTTCTCATCTGAAAAATGGACACACCATATGCTTACTATTACTGCTCTCTAGTTATCGATGGAATAAAATCAGGCCACACTGAAGTTTTATGAAAGATATAAACTGGATATGAAAAAGTATTGCTTTATTTTGTTTAAAAAATAAAAAAGCTGGCTGGGCGCCTGTGGCTCAAGTGGCTAGGGTGCCAG